GGCTCACATATGCAGCTGACAAATTGTTAGTTCAGGGCAATCACAGTTGTGATAGCTCATAACTGCATGTCTCGTGGCCCAACAGTGAGTTGTGACCCTCCAGATGAGAATCACTGTTACAGACTATTAGTAACAAACTAATTTTCATTAAAATATCTTTCAAATAAAGTCAATAATTTCTTTTTTCTGAATCACTTTTTTCTCATTAATAAAACTTAATGTCTCTACATGTAATTAAAATAAATAAATAATAAAAACAATTTAACATATACTGATAAGGTTCTATGTACAATTCCAGATGACTGATTTCAGTAAGTCTCCCAAGTTACTTTCCTAAGTAAACCCCCAATTTTACTGGTCCTTCTTTTTTAAAATTCATTTATATAAATGGCAGAAAGTTATAAATCAACTTTATTTATGATACATACAATCATTTCTATGCTTGCATTGTGGTTATATACAAGCTATACCTTTATTTTTTTTATTGTTTAAATTGATAAATGTTCTAAGATAAGAGATGAGAGAAAAAAACACCTGAATCCAAACCAACCAAGTCTGCAAAGATCCTATTACAATGACTATTTTGCATCATTTGAAGTTACAAGTATACTGTATATTTTTAACATCTTTCTCTGTATGTACCATTTATTTTAGAAAGAACCAATATTCAACTAAGTGTAAAAACTATGTTCATGCATATCAAAGAATGATATGTGCTTTGTTGAGATTAACAAATATATGAACTATAATATAGAGAGGTCTTCCAGTTTCTTTAATTATGTGGTGTTTTTTTAATGATAAAATAACACAAGGTGAGACTAGAGAGATTGGATAAAAACAATAAAGCTTTCTTGAAAAGTAGGTTAGGATGTCAAGGACTGTTAAACATAGCTCTGGCTTTACAAGAACATCAGAAAGGAGGGTGTGCTGAAAATATTTACATGTTTAGTGCAAGATTTCATGGGCTATTTTACACAGTTAAGCAGAAAAATGGTTTGTCCAGGATATCAAAATTTGGCAAAAAAAAATACGTTATGTGAACGGTAAAAAAAAAAAGAAAAAGAAAAGAGAGAGATAGAGAAAGAAAGAAAATACAGGAGCTTTCAGGTATATTGATGGTATTTCAGTTTTTGAACACAAGCTCGTGGTTTTAACATACTGATTAATTTCTTTTCTGATGTTCTAATAACTGAGAGGGAAAGAAATTTTGCCTTTTCCTTGGAAATCTGTTTAATGGTAGACAGGATTAATCTAAAAACATATTTATCTGTATCAGAGTACTATCTTAAAAAACTGTAAAAAGCTTTAAGAAATAAAAATAGTTAAGCTTGGCCAAATTAATTCTAAAACTAAGACACCGATGAAATTCTGAAAGACAAATGTTGCTCATAACTTTAAAAAAAGCAAGATATCTTAAAACTTAGACTTGATAGTTTTGGAAATATCATATTTAATCAAAAATAGCAACATTTTAGAAAAGAATATTATTGTCTTACTAACTCATTAAAATTATTGATAGTCCTCCTGTTTCTTTTGTTGGAAGAACATCACCCCTTGGATGTCTTAAAACAATTAGCAGGTTATGTTGCTTTGATATTAATGGTAATTTTCAGAACTGAATAGGCTTGCTTCACCTATAAATATGGTTGTGAATGGATACTTTTTAAATTGGGTGAGTAATGTTGTTCCTGAGGGATTTTTCTTGAGGCTGATGTTACGCATTATTTATGATAACAAAATGAGTATTAGCATCTCTTATATTCTGTCCAAATTAGCTGATGGATAGGTGAATACTGTGAAAAGAATTTCCTTTGCAGACTGGTATTTAAATATATTTAATGAGAGCTTTAAAATTCAGAAGATAAGTTTGAATACTGAGAAGAAGAATAAGGTTATAAATTTGAGTTAAAATAACTTGGAAGAAGATTTTATTGACTCTCCTTCAGCCTCCACTACTGCCAGTGGAATCTAATTCTATAAGTTAGTCATCCTATTATAAAATAAAATTGTGAGCACTTTACAAACGTTTAAAGGGGTAAGCAATAATTACATGAAAAACAAATGGTAAGTTAAATTATTTACTTTCTATCAAGAGTGGGTGTGCTGGTACAGCCTTAAAGGACCAAATGATCCCTTGTTATCCCTAGGCTATGTTAGTCTGTCTCTTCCCAAATCTTAAACTTGTGTCCTCTTTTCCTATTGTCTTTAGAATATAGTAAAAATAAATCAGAGACCTTTATTCTATCAATCCACCCAAATAATCTTGTAAACTTCAATAAAATCACTTTTTACCCTTGTTTTCTCAAGAGAAAATAAGAGACCTTAACCTGTCCCCATAAGCTTTTCATCTCCGGATTAATCCTAGTAGACCTCGTCTGAACTCTTTCTAATAATTCAATGCCCTTTCTTAGATGAGAAGACCAATATTGTACATAGTATTCCAAGTGTGGTTTAACTAGTGATTTCTCAAGAGATAATCTCCTCTTTTAACTTGTAATCAAAGTCTAAGTACTCCTAAAATTCTCTTAGCTTTGCTGCTAATAACAGAGCACTGTCTTGATGACTTTAGTGACTTATCCACCACTATGCCATGATCCTTTTCTTCAGTCATGCAGTTGAGGGTGTTCACATCCATATTATATAAGTGATCCAAGTTATAATAACCAAACTGCATTATCTTGCACTTACTTTAATTAAAAGTCATTTGCCATATATTTGTCCAAATTATCAACTGATCAAAGTCATTATATAGTACCTGAACATCCTCAATACAGTTAGAAGTACATAAGCATTTACTGACATCCACATATTTTAATAATTTACTAACTATGCCTCTATTAATATTATTATTTTTATCTTTGTTGTTAAACAAATAGCTACATGTTAAGCTATCTGTGCTGGTTTCACTATGGGGAATAAAACCCAATTTTTAGATTTTCATAGCTGATCATATGAGTATCTTATTTAAATATTTTTGAAAATCTAAGTATACCAAGTCCACACAGACCTTTCCATCATCAACACAACAAGTAACATCCCCAATAAATGTTAACAGGTTAGTAAGGGTATATTTCCCTTTAGTGAATCCATGTTTCACTAGACTGGATAATTTTCCAAATCTTCTTTTACCAGACCCTTTTTCCAACTATAGAAGTCAGACTAACTAATTAATAATAGTCAGAGCACCTTCTTTCACCCCCTTTAGAAATATGAATAACATTACCAATTCTCAGGCACCTGCCCAATACTTACCGACCATCATATTTAATTGTTTCAATAGATTCATCGATATTATTACTTTTTTTACTCATAGGTTGTGTCAAAATAACAATTTCTTTCCCACTTAATAACACATTTAGTTCTATTATTATGCTCAGATAAAGGTAAAAATCTGTTATTTTTAAGATTTCTTTTGTGTTCATTCAATCTTAATTTTTAATTTCTTTTAATATATCCCATATAGATATTCCTATATTCACATGTTACTTTATATATATACCAGTTTTCTCTGTTAGATCGATTCTGTCATTCTAAATTGTTTCATTATTTAACAAGACAGACCAGGAATAAATGATAACACAAGCCTTTCTGTTAATCTTTTCAATGAGTGGTTTTAAATTTCTTAACAGTTCCGTCAATGATGTTAGGACTGAAATCTCTTTCTACTGCTACATACTCATTAATAATTACCCATTATTAATATCTTAATAATTACAACATAATTTTAAGATCCCTTTATATAAGAACAAAAAGTCATCGAATGTTTTGAGATATATTATGACATGATTTTTTTCATGTGGGGGAATGATTACACCATGATACTTATCCTTGATTTTCTCCTGTATGTCTTTAGTGCTTGAATTAGATCTGATTTTTCCTTTTTATATTTACCTCTATCTAGGTTGTTCTATGTTTTTTGAAAACATCCATATTTTTTTATTAATGTCCAAAATAATTTTTCAAAATTTTATTAACCTAAATGTTACTCAATCTGCGTATAAGTTATGTGTGTTTTAAATTAATGTTTGTCACCTGAACAGCACTAAAATTATATTAAAAAGCCCTTTTTTTTTTGGCATTTGATAATTTTTTAGCATTATTGTCAAGTTAAACACTAAACAGTGGTTGCCAACTGCGATAAGGGGAGCATGCCCCCTCGGAGGTGTGACAAATATGATAGGGGGCTGCCAGACTTGGCTTTCTGTAAAGTTAGAACAATTTCAGTCAATCTAATTTTTTGTACATATGCAAATATGTGTGTGTGTGTGCATTTATATATATCTAATATGTGTGTATTTATATAAGATGCAAGGGAGGAAGGCAGGTTGTGTACAGTGTACATAAGGATGACTTCAGAGCAAAGCAGATGGGAGCACCGGTTGAAAAACAACTGATACACTGTGGGCAAAATAAGGAACAAACCATGTTCTACTCTCACCAGAAATTGAATGCTGCATTTTAATATTAGAATGGTTCCATAAAATATACAACAGTTATTTTTGATGTTTCACCCTTAAACATTTTAGAACATTATGGCATTAGAGAAATTACGTGGTTTAAAATTCTAATGATATTGGAGTGACCAATAAAATAATCGTCTTGGTCTCATTTGATAAACAGATAACACTTAAGTTGCGCTATAGTAATACTAATAATAGGCCTAACGCTAAATTTTCACACAACCTACTTAAGTTACACATATGCTTAGTTTTTAGATAAAAGTTTGAAAGGAAGGAGCTCTACAGCCATTATATAGTATTAGTTGAATTAGCCTGTTACTACTAGTAGTAATGTTTTCAAGATAAGTGGACTGGAAGAACATGATACATACCTAGACTTTTTAAAGCCTTAAACTTAAATCATCATGTTTACACCGGTGAGTAAATTTTGATGGTGTCACAAAAACAAACAATGCTAACGTAACAAAATAATGTTGGTAACAATATCATTTTCCAGTACTTGAAAAAATATCTATATAGATATATTCCAATATACATTACCTACATCCTGTACTTCCATTTCCTTTTCAATAAATCCTGTTGAGTAAGAAACAAGAACGAAAATGAAAGACCATTACTCACTTCTTAAGACTTCTCGAGCATTAAACTTACAGTTAATCCTTTCAATCGTCGAGAAACTATTATATTCTTCTTACTGAGAATTAATATAATGAAAGTGAAAGAAAGATTTGTAAACATTTAGTATCTGTCTTATTATAACGTAATGTCACACAAGCCTCAGATCTATACATTATCTTTTAACGGGTTAAGTACCAACATAAAAAGTCGTCTGCTCAAAATTATTAGATTTTACTCGCCATCTAGATAAGCAAACACTCAACAGGGAACTTATCTATAAAGATTTAATATAATAAATAAATAATTATATTTATTTACCCATTGCGAAGGGGAAGAAATATGAGGTTATGGTAATACATTAACCAGTGAGAAAGTAGGCTGAAAAAATCTAATAATATTAAGTATAACATTTTTTTTATTATTATTATTATGTGGAGTATAATAGTCGTTTTTGTTTTAAATAAGAATAGCATACATTAGTTAGTTACAATTATCAAATTAAAAAATAACAACTCAGAATACTTAATAAAGCAAAATAAATCTTCATATAAAAATAAATATTTAGAACATTTTAATTTTAATTAACTTAGTTGAGTTTTAAAGTTTCACGTCGTATATTCAGTTATTTGTTTATACTTTTAAGTATGCGTATTTTTGTTAGGTTTGATTTGTATTTGGGAAATAATATTACTTTTCGGGGTTCTAGGGTCATATTTAAACTTGTCGTTATCTGCAAGGAGATTACTGTGATGTAAGACAAAAAGTCAAACTATATACTCAATTAATTCAATGCCATTACTTATTTTTGACAATTTAGTGAGATTTTTCCTAATCTTATTCTAAAAATGGGGAAAACAAAAATTGCCCGTTAATAAAATTTTGAGCATATATTTTCAAGTGGAACTCTAGCAACTGGAAAGTGAATTCCATTAAATTCCTTTTGAAACTTTTTTATTATTATTAATATTTTCTCACATTTAACAATGGCTAACACTCGGTACAACCACGAGAAAATATATCAGATGAGGTTATTTTTGAAATAAGAATATTCTTTGCAGCCTTTATTATTATTATTAAATACATAAATTTCACAAACATTGCACATTTTCTTTGTATATTCCAAAAGCACACTTGTATGAGATATCAAAATAGCATTAATTTGTTAGTTTTTTACATATTTTTGAATTATTACATTTTCTAGTCGATTTGGCGTGGCTTAATGAAGCACTCCAACTTGCAATCAGGGACGTTATAATTTAACGGTGAATCCCACTTTTCCTCGGTAAAGAGTAGCCTAAGAGTTGGCAGTGGATGGTGTTGACTAGCTGTCTTCGTTTTCTATATTAAATAAATAATTATATACTACTTTTTAAAACTTTATTGTGCATAATTTCCTTGTTACGCAACGAAATAGTTTATTTAAGTCCCCGATTTTTAATGTTATAAAAATCTGTTTTTATTTCCATAAATGTACTATATTTCACTATGTGCATTATATGATTTAAAATTTTAAACATGTATATAGGTCTTATTGGTAAAATATTCAGTAATCTGTATTTATCAATATTATTTTTAAAAGTATTTTTATTTTGCATAATTAAATTTATAAATTTGTTTTGCATAGCAATTGATGTATGCATATTATTATAACATATGACCCCCACATCAGTATTCCATATTGTAACATTGAAATAAGCCCATGAAAAATATATAATTCTCAATATTTTCATACCAACACATTTTTAGTATAATAAAATTTATATAATATATATATATATATACATCTTAATTTTTTATTTCTATTTTGTAAATAAATACTTTTTATCAGTATAAAGTCCCATACACCTATAACTGCTTACTTCTACAATTAATTGACTTTTACAACATAATAATTTTTATCATGTCATTTATGAGGTAATTTTCGGTTTCTTCACCTTTTAACTTGAAATGTGTGTATTTTCTTTTTTAAGTACTTTATATAATTTACTTAATTTAAACCAAGTTGAATGTTGTTGTTTTTTTTCATATCCTCAGCAAAAGTTAGGGTATTTCTCTATAATTTAGCTTGCAAAAATCACTTATAAATATTGTAAATAATGCAGGTCCTAAAATAGGTCCTTACGGAACACCATACATAATTTGTAGTAAATTCCTGTAACTGCCGTTTACATATACGTGTTGTGTTCTATTTTCTAAATAACTTTTGAACCATTTTAGAGCTAAACCTATGATTCCTTTATTTTCTACCTTTTATTAACACTCGTTTCGTGAGTCAATGGGACGGTTTGATTTTAGAATATTCCGTAATTTTGGAATGAGTAACTTCATCACTTAGATAACATTTCAAATTATAACAGAAACTACAAGTCCAGACTGAATGCATTCGAAAAAATATGTTGTTTCTTAAATGTATTGATACTTCTGGAATATGCCATTTCAGAAGTGATGTCTACTGGAAAATGAACATGTCATTTTGTGGTTAAAATCATTCCGTTCGACAGTAACAGTAGTTATACGTTGAGTAAATATTCGCGTAATCTAATTCTACAAAGACAGCTCAGTTGGAAGTGAGCTCGTTTCTTATACTGAGACTTAATTTCAGATATCTTTTTATTTTAGTTGCTGGTCAATAGGAAACCCTTGTACTGTATTCTCATTGAATATGCTGACAAGATGGAGTAGACATACATTATGTATTCTTGATGGTTTGTTTGTTTGTTTTT